CTGTCACACCATCCTCCACGTTCGTCCACGTGCATGCTTCTCCCACAAGTAACTATAGAGGGCAGTGGCGCAACCTTATGACATCACATACATGCAACTTTTACAGCTTCCAAATTAAAATAAATTTGTCGTCTGACAAAGCAGCAGCTCTCATTTACAGTCGTCTCGTTCAGCTCAGTACTTTTCTCCTCTCAGTAGGGTTGTTTACAGCACACGTGATTTCCGGTTAGCTTCTTAGCTTAGCCTCCGTCACACCGACAACACACATGCTTCAGCAGAGGCCACGCCTCCTGCAAGAAATCAATTCTCTATGCATCAAGTCCAGACCCTTGTACGAAGCAAAGCAAAGGACAGGGTCTGGTTTAAACCAGGCTAACAAATTCCCATAAAGCTGCCTTTTTTTAGTAATTACATGGTGAAGGGTCATATAAAACTGGAAAGTTTGACAGAGCTAAAATAATGTTAAAAGTGTTAGCTAACRGCAGCGTGTAGCATACTCTACTCTCATTGGTCAGTAAATAAAACCCTRGCTGCTTGGTTCAAGCAACAGCGACAAAAGTTGAACATTTTTCAACTTTCATATGTTGCATCGTAAGCTTGCGTGTGCACGTCCATGGGTACGAGTGCAAAATTTTACATGCACGATTTTCGCCGGTTGCTTGGCTGGAGGAGTGTGAGTGATTGTCTCCTCATCATACAACTTCCACAGGAACTGATGGAGAGAGAGCGACGTTGCTCCTTGTGTGTCGAGTCCAGATTGACACTGGTAAGACAACCATCCTCTTGGGTGTGATTGGCTGTTGCTGTTACCGTGGCCATGTAAATCTCAAAAAACTCATAYGAATACAATGAGCTCAGCTCACAACTGCCACACTCTGAGCCACATGACTTAGAGTGGAGAGATCTCTGAAATTAAAACATTTTTTGGTGAACAAACGTTTTCTACAATCATGTTTCACAAAACACATAAAATAATATATCAAAACTCTGGCATTTTTGTCTTCTTTCAGCCAGTATTGCTGGTTTTAAGACAAATGGTCTATCTCAGAATGCAGACTGGTAGCAGTTTTTCTGCTATTCTCCACAATGCTAAATTTCTTTGACGCCCCCTGTTCCCATCTGGATTGAGAAGTGTTTTTAATTTGCCATAAATCTGACATGAAGCACTGTAAAAAATTTAGAAAATTTAGAGTAATAAAAACAATCTCTTCTTTCACGTTTCAATTTTTTTAATAGACCCTTTAGTTTTTACACAGCGGCTGTTTGAACGAATATTTTCAGCATTTTTCTCATTTTGACATGCAGAAATCTGACACCTGCTTTGCCCTCAAAAACAGGATTCTGACCTTCTGATTGGCTGAGGCTGCTTCCACTGTTTCTGGGCAGAAAAGGGGGAATTTGTAATTCAATGTGGCACCCAGATTGTTCAGCAGTTTTAAGTTATATTGAGGATTTGGCGGCACGACGGCTCAGTGGTTAGCACTGACGCCTCACAGCAAGAAGGTCCTGGGTTCGATCCCCGGTTCGGACCTGGGGTCTTTCTGTGAAGAGTTTGCATGTTCTCCTCGTGCTTGCGTGGGTTTTCTCCGGGTACTCCGGTTTCCCCCACAACACAAAAACATGTACAATAGGTTGCCTTCAGGCCCAGGCCGCTCTTGAAAAAGAGATCTGAGATCTCAATGGGATTTGCCTGGTAAAATAACAATAAAATAAAAAAAAAATAAAATAAAAAAGGATCCAATGTAACCCAATCCTTTCCAGGCCATTTTCTAGGGTTTGTCAGCTGACTTATATTTATTGCATCTTTAGTGTGTATAGCAACTGTAAGATTGTCCTTTGGGAATAATAAAAATAATAATTTAATTTCAATGCAACTCACTTAAAAAGACCGGTGTTTATTGAAAAAGCTCCACAGGCACAGCGGCGCAGCATCGGGTTTTAACTCAAGGCTGTAGCTTTCAGTTATTCTAAGCAAAACAGTCAATGTTGGGTTCATGCAAACAAGTTTCTTTCATGCATTTTGCATGACTTTTCTGTATAACCTTTACATACATTCTCTATAGTTAATTGCATGAATTGCAAGTGATAAAGTTTAGATACATCCTAAAATCACAGCATACATAATCATTCTAAAACGTTATCGCCTACACTACAAACATGTTTTAATACAATAATTGTGCTTATGCATCTAAAATGCCTACGATAAGGTGAGTTTAGTTGTGCTACAACCCCTGGCAAAAAGAATGGAATCACCAGTCATTTCATTCTGTAAAACAAACTCAGATCAAAAACATGATACAATAATAAGGTCATTCCAAAGTGCAACACGTTGGCTTTCAGGAACACTCAAAAAATGAAGAGAAAATATTGTGGAAGTTAGTGTTATTGACCAAACACAGGGAAAAAAAATGGAATCACTCAATTCTGAGGAACAAAGTATGGAGTCATGAAAAACAGATAAACAGAAGACCATTCAAAATACATCACTAGTATTTAGTTGCACCACCTTTGGCTTTTACAGTAGGCTTGCAGTTTCTGAGGCATGAACTTGATGAGTGACAAACAGTATTCTTCATCAATTTGGTGCCAACTCTCTTTGATAGCAGTTACCAGATCAGCTTTGCTGGTCAGAGTCTTCTTGTGGACCATTTTTTTCAATTTCCACCACAGGTTTTCAATTGGGTTGAGATCTGGACTATTTGCAGGCCATGACATCGACTGAATGTTTCTTTCTCCAAGGAATGCCTTCATTGATTTTGCCCTATGGCACGATGCATTGTCATCTTGGAAAATTATTTCATCACCTCCAAACATCTGTTCAATTGAAGGGATGAGAAAACTGTCCAAAATGTCTGTAAACTTGTGCATTGCTAGAAGAATTATTAACCACAGTCATCTCC